CCTCTCTTTTCCCTTTGGAATCTTACTAAAATTTATTATTTGCCCAACATCTTACATAGAGTATCCTGAAGAGAAAGCGATATTTTATTGATGGTCGAATATCATCAGTGTGAACATTAATTACTGTGCTGTGTATTTCTGTTAATATAATAATACCTGTAGAAGCATTTGAAGTAAGTGGGACTCTGCTTCTGCCCTAAGTAGCCTACTCCTATTTCATTTAAAAAGTTTCTTTTCTGGTTGTACATTGTTAATTTTTGTTTCCACTGCTCCTAAGCACTGGCTGCTACTTCTTACCTCTGACAATGTGTCTGCCCAAAGCAGCTATCCTTTTCTTTCTTATTTGCTGCCCCATTTTGCTCTTTGCTACCAAGTTGTAAACTTGATGGAATTTTCTTTACAGTCAGAATAAACAGTTCTCTAGTGGAAAATGGGGTTTTTCGCACCTGTTCTTGACTCAGAAACCTTTTGAACATCTTGTTCTTGATTCTTCCAGGTAATTGCCAATGCTAGATAATGGATAATATTTCACTTCCCCTGTTTTGTCCACTTCAAATGTATATATGAGACAATGCCTGTGTTGTTTTTCAGACATTTTCTTTCTCTTTCTAACATTGGTAATTTCTTTCACTATAGGATCATAACAAATAGTACACTTTGTGCATTTCAGTTACTACACTTGATTTTCATTCTCTTAATTTACTTAGCAAATTATTTTAGTTACTTTATTTGTAATCTTAATTATGCTTTGTTTTTCTTTTGAACAAAATCCTATTATCTAAACATTTAGAAGTTTCAGGGAACAAAGAAAACCTTTGGTTAACTCACGTGATGGATATAAGCATATGTGTGGACAATAAGGAAGAGTGGTAACAGTCTCGTCAGATCTAATGAAGAGCTGAAGGTCATTCTGGAGACAAATGCATTGGCAAGTCAGGCCTAAAGGAGAAGAGAAACGTTTAGAAAATAGCACATAATTTCTGTGACTGACCGAGTAATCTATTTGTCTCTTGAAAATCAAGTGTTTCTTCTTCCCCTAAGTCAGTGTGGTGCCATTATGATCACATTGCCATCTTCTGTGTTTGCTTCTGCTGAGCATACTTCTACCTATTGATCATTCCCTCACTTTTGGTCTTATCATTATTTCTGGTTACTGCATTCTCTCTGGCTATGTCTTCTGCCTTTTTTTTTTTTTTTTCGGCTTAAATTGTTTATTTTTGGCATTAAGACTTCCCAAAGAAGAGGGTGTTATTGTTTTGGCTAGCGACCATCCAATATGGAAAGCACCTGTTCAAGAAAACACTTCAGTCTGACCCTTTCATAGATCAGTAGATTAGAGATGGTTGCCTTTGGGTTAGATGCCCTTGATTCTGTTAGCAGATGCCAACGGCATGGGATCCTACAGTACATAAGTTGCCTACTTGTGTATATGGAACCTCTTGTAGATACTGAACTATTACCAGTCCACTCATTGTAAATTGAAGTCTTAGGCTTTTTAGGCAAGTTTATAAGTAGTGAATCAAGGGAATTCCAGCTTCTGTCTAGGATGTAGAAAGTTAGAAAGATTGTCATTTCTTCTGTAATAAGAAATGGCTGGGTTAACTATAGAATCATAATTTTTTAAAAACTCGACAGAGCTGAGGTCACAGGGCAGCCAATAGCTTAAAATCTAAGGAAAAGTTAAGTACCACCGAGGAGAGATGGTGAGATAGGAACACTGGTTCACCTGAGCATCAGAGGAAGACAAGACAGCCACAGAAGTGGGTGAGAAGAATTAAACTAACAGATTGCTAAAGACCTCGCATGGGCTTACCAAAAAAGTATTCCTTGGGATTCGCAGACATAAGGGGAGTTGCGCACACTTGCAGGATTTTCTTTGTGGACCTTGACCAGGTGCTAACGAGAAAGACTGGGAGCAGGAGAGGACACTAGAGTAAAGCTGCATTGGTGGAGTGTAAAGTGGGAGGGGAGCATCCCTGCTGTGGAAAAAGCATGAAGTCTTGCCTGGACTATTTTCCTGAAGTAATACAGCCTAAGCTGCTGAGGGAAAAACGTCAAGTCTTAGTAGCCCAAAAGGGTTCAGAAGATGACCCATTGCAACTAGAGGAAAATATAAAAGAGAAAAACAACAAAACATCATCTGTGTGCCTCAGGGAGGGGCAGAAAATCATCCAGATTATTAGAAGTCTACCACTGGAGGAGAGCAGTATCACTGAAAAAGCGCAAACCTGAAACTGAGAACACAGGGACTGAGGCTGAACCAAACAGTAGAGAATACTCTGCCTGCACTCCCCAGCCCACCTTCCCACCACCATCAGGCTTGGAAGCACCAAGTAACAGGTAACAGCAGCTACCACCAGAGAAGGAGTAAGAGCATAGAGAGAAACTCTCTGAGGTGAGGTGCACAGTGAAGAACTAACGCTGCAGGCGGAACGGTACCACTGAGGAAAATACTCCAGTTACTTAATCCCTACCAGAGCACAGATTTGAAGCTGGAGATGCACTGAAGGTAACCATGGCAATAACAGAACCCAAACTCAGATAACCCTGTCCCAACCTCCCACTGTCACAACCTCCCACACTGGCCTAGCAGAGTAAGTGTGTCCATTCCCAGGCATAAATACTACTTACTTCATTCTCTGCTATTCTACACATGAAGTCCAATATTCAAAAATTACAAGACACACACAAAAAGAAGAAAGTAAAAACATCCTACTGTTAAGAAACAAGGTAAAAATATAATTAGACTCAGAGATGACCCACAGTTTAGAACTATCAGACATGTAATTTAAAAATAACTGTGGCTAATATGTTAAAGGCTTTAGTGAAAAAGATAGGTAACATACATCATGTAAATGCAGAATTTTAGCAGAGAGAAATTATAAGAGTCAAAAGAAAAGAGAAAAAGAAAGAAAAAAGAAGAGCAACAAGAGAAGAATGACTTAACCAAGTTCATCACTATATTTTCTGTGTCCATAGGAAAAACTCAGTGACCTTGAAGATAGGTTAATAAAAACTACCAGTACTGAAATCAAAGGAGGGAGGGGATTAAAAGCAAACAGACAAAATCAGAGCATCCAAGAACTGTGGGGTAATATCAGATGGTCTAACATATATCTAATTGGAATCCCAGAAGATAGAGAACATTGAGCAAAATAGACTATATTCTGAGTCATAAAACAAACCTCAACAAGTTTAAAAAATAGAGATCATAAACAATGTTCTCTAATCATAACAGAATTAAAGTAGAAATTAATAACAAAAATCTGAAAAATCCACACATGTTTGAAAATTAAACACCACATTTCTGAGTAACTCATGAGTCATGATACAGGAAAGAAAGCCAAAGCAGCGTTGGGTCCATTAAACCTATTATAAAAGGCCAGTTAGCTAGTGATGACTTTGACAAAAAACTTCACCTAGCCACTGGTTATCAGGACAAGGAGAGAGAAGAAATAGTCTGTGGTCTTTGTGTACCAGCCTGTTCCCCTTCTTTTATAGAGAATAAGCACTTGCCCTAGTCAGAAGCCCTATTCCACAGCCATTACTGGGAGCAGAGGTTGAGTTGTTCTGTCACTGGATTCTCCTGTGACCAGTGGCCTGTGCCGGCACAGGCCTGTACCAATAGGTCTTGCTGCAGAGCCATTTCACAGCTTTCTCTATTGAGTATAGATCAGGTCTCCACTAATTATTTTAACCTGACATTTTATTCTTCTCCAGTTTGCTCTAAAACTCCAAGGATCAATTCAGTATTTATCAGGTATTGTACATATTTTGTATTTTCTACATTTGATATGATTTTTTTTTAGTATTTAGTCTGTTTGGCATTTTAAACCCAGATAACATTTCTGATAAAGAAGAATATTGTTGCAGCCTGTCTCCATTAAAAGAAGTATTCCTGTAGATGGAATCCATTGAGTCTCAATTTTTGATGATTTTGTATTAAAATGAATTTCTTTAGGCATCAATATTGCAGTAGCAGTTATTGACATAATATTTTTGACATCAATACCGTCATTAAGCAATACACTAAAGTAAATAATTTGTAAAGAAATCTGAGTATGAATCCCAGTGTTGTGATATTTCTGTGTGGCCTATGACAGCTTACCCATGCTATCTAAATCTATTCTTTCATCTCTTAAATAAAGATAACAGCCTCATGGGCTGTTGAGAAGATTAATATTTATAACATGTCTGGCATATAGAATGTGCTTATAAATTCTAGTGGCTGTCATTGTTCTTGGTAATTATTACAAGTTAGCATTAGTAAACTTCATATTAGTATTCTGTGGTTTAAATATAGTCTGCTTATAAAATTGATGCTTTATATCATGTTTTAAACTAGTTACTAACAGTTGAGAGGTTGTATAGCATGGTGGTTAAGAACATAGATTCTATGTCCAAATTTCAGCTCTACCAGCCTGACCTTGGCTACTTAAATGCCCTGTGCATCACTTTCCTTAGCTTTAGAATGAACATAACAATAGCACATTTCTCCAGGGGTGTTTGAGGAGTCAATCAGATTAGGTATATAAAAACTTTAGAACAAGGCCGGCACGGTGATTCACGCCTGTAATCCTAGCACTCTGGGAGGCTGAGGCGGGTGTATCATTTGAGCTCAGGAGTTCGAGACCAGCCTGAGTAAGAGCGAGACCCTGTCTCTACTAAAAATAGAAAGAAATTTGCTGGACAACTAAAAATATATAGAAAAAGTTAGCCAGGCATGGTGGCGCATGCCTGTAGTCCCAGCTACTCGGGAGGCTGAGGCAGAAGGCTTGCTTGAGCCCAGGAGTTTGAGGTTGCTGTGAGCTAGGCTGATGCCACGGCGCTCTAGCCCAGGCAACAAAGTAAGACTCTGTCTCAAAAAAAAAAAAAAAAAAAACAAACTTTAGAATAGTTGCTGATACTTAGTGCTGTGTGTCGGTTTTTGCCATTATTATTATTGCTAGTATTGTTATTAATTTGTTGTTGAGTAAGTTATTTTTTTAATCATTTTTTAGGTAAATCTTGGAAGCAACCAGTACCTTTTCTCTGTCATAGTGGACCCTAAAGAAATGCCCTGCTTCTGTTTGCGCCATGATGTAGATGCCCTACTCTGGCAGCCGCACTCCAGCAAACAAGATGATATGTGGGAACACATTGCAACTTTCAATGCTTTAGGTATAAAGCAAGCTCTTTAATAACATTTCCTATTCTATCAAAAATTATAATCACTGTTTTTTTCAATTTAAATAGATATAGGAGATATAAATGGGTTTTTGTGACATGACTGAATTGCTTAGTGGAGAAGTCTAGGCTTTTATATACCTGTCACCTGAATAGTGTACATTGTACCCAGTAGTTAATTTTTCATCCGTACCCCACTTCTACCCTTTCCCCTTTCTGAGTCTTCAGTGTCCATTAAGTCACTCTGTATGACCATGCATACCCATTCCTTAGCTCCCACTTATAAGTGAGAACATGCAGTATTTGATTCTTTGTTCCCGGCTTATTACACTTAGAATAAAGGCCTCCGGTTCCATCCAAGTTGTGCAAAAGACATTATTTCATTCTTTTTGATGACTGAGTAGTATTCTATAGTACATATACATATATAGTCTATGATATATATATATATGTATATATGCCACATTTTCTTTATCCAGTCATTGATTGGTGGGCACTTAGGTTGGTTCCATGTATTTGCAATTGTGAATCGTGTAGTTATAAACATACGTGTATAGGTATCTTTTTTATAAAATTACTTCTTTTCCTTTGGGTAGATCCCTAGTGGTGGGATTGCTGGATCAAATGGTAGATCTACTTTTAGTTCTTTGAGAAATCTCTATGCTGTTTTTCATAGAGGTTGTACTAATTTACATTCCCACCAACAGTATATAAGTGTTCCCTTTTTACCACATTTGTACCAGCATCTATTGTTTTTTGACTTTTTAGCAATGGACATTCTGACAGGGGTGAGGTGGTATCTCACCGTGATTTTAATTTGCATTTCCCTATTAGTGATGTTGAACATTTTTCATATATTTTTTGATATTAGGCTATTGTCAGATGTCTAACTTGGAAATATTTCCTCCCATTCTGTAGGTTGTCTGTTTACTCTGTTGATTATGTCCTTTGCTGGGCAGAAACTTTTTAGTTTAATTAAGTCCCATTTATCTAGTTTTGTTTTTCTTATATTTGCTTTTGGGATCTTACTCATAAATTCTTTGTGGTCTCTGTCCTTTGGGGACACAAAATTGCCCACATTCCCAGCTCCCACCCTGACCCAGCTACAGCAGAGGTGGTGCGGGCAGCTCAACCTGCTGTATGCAGGGTTACCAGATTGGCTGTGGACTATGGCTGAGATGCTCCAGTGGGGAAGGTGTGTATGTGCCAGGGACTTTCCTCCGGGGGGTAAGGTCCTCCCAGAAGAGAAAGACAGCTAGGGGGGAGGACTGCTAGCCCCATCCTCCTTCAGGAAGCCATAGCTTTAGTCCTTAGGGAAACAAAAGCCCTTGCTATGGGTTTTTTGAGGAAAGAGAATGTGCCCCAAGCTCTGTGGAATCCTGGGTGTGGGACGGCTGCTCCCCAATGCCCTGGCCTAATCTGATGTGGATCCCTCTCTTGTCCTGAGCAGAAACAGCCATGGCTGCCTGGGCAGCAGCAGGTAGAGAAGGGGAGGAGGAGGAGAAGGCCCCAAATGATTGGGAGCTGGTGCCCTGGTCCCCTTTGTCTTAAAGGACCTTCTTGCATGCTGCATTCTCCTCTCAGCTAGAGGCAGCCCTCCCTGAATACCCAAACTCTGGGAGACCCACAGTTCCCCTGAGGCCCACAGTCCCCTAGGGCTTCTGTGGTCTAAGCTGGTGCTAGGGAGCTTTGGCTGTGAATCCGGCGATGTAGAGACTCAGGGGCTGAGATTCCCAGGTTGAGATAGCTATAAAAGCAATGCCTGTCCATGAAAGGAGGGAAATGAGCCACCCCCTCTGTGCAGAACCCAGGCACAGTAAGCAGAGTACTATTGGGGTGTGCCTCATACCACCCTCCCCCCACCCCAGCCTAGAATTTGTTGTCCCATAGCTCACCCCACCAATGGCTCATGCTTGGGAGCAGAGGCAGCGGTATCTACCACATTGGGTGGTTGGAGGAGGGGAAGTTCTCATCTCCACGTCCCTTCCTGGGCTGCCCAGCTTTAAACTCCCAAAATGACACTGTCGGCCTGGTTGGCTATTGTTTTTATGTTCATTTCTTTTTTTTTCTTTTTAAATTTGTGCTGTCCTAATTACATTTAGATTGATTTATGCTATAATTTAATTACTTGTACTATAGTTGATGACTGTTAGTACTGTTGCAACATTTGGATTAATCTGTTTTTATGCTTGTAAAGAAAGTCAACACAGAATAGAAATGAAAGTGGTTATCTAACCAATTACTCTAATCAGTCATTTGCTTATTCAAATTCTGTAAGGTATGTAGTATTAAAATATGAACAAGGGGCTTGACATTACCCTGCATGGAACTTGTATTCAGGTTTCTTGAGAGTAATCTTCAAAAACATCACAGAATTGCGTTGAGGTCATACATATTAGGAGACATCCTTCATGGCACTTAAGTGCAAAAGAGAGCAATTATAATGAAAACACTTATCGAAAGTGTTGATAACCAGAAAATAAGTTTATTTGGTAGGATAAAAGAAAAATATCAGTTTTAAAACTAGAGTTTGAAAATGTTTAAACTACTTAATTTATGCAATCATCGATTTTTATGTCAAAATATATTAGTATTATGTGAGAGAAGTTTTTTATGTTTCTTAGCCACAGTTATTGCTTTATAGAAAGATTATTTTAAACTGGCAGCGGGAAGTAAAATTATGCATTTTGGTGGCTATGTATGCACAACTCTAATTGTAGAGATTTGTCAGTTATCCCTTATAGTTAGTAATGTAGGCAACTAAACTGGTTAATTGAGACTCCAAATGGATTTTTATGATCTGAAATATAAAGTTGGATTAATTTTACTACATAATTTCTAGCCTACCTACTATAATTCCTAATTTTTTTAAGCCCTATCCTCTCTTTTTTTGGTAAGAGGAAAGCTCTATCATGTAATTTTTAGATGATCAAATCCTGCATTGGAATCCCCAAACTCCCTAAGATAGAGGAATTCTGCTATGCTCAATTCTAAGTTAAATCAACATTACATTAGATATATATTCTTGAGATATTATACACATTACTAATTCTGTCAAGGTTAGCCTGGAGAGCTACTTAAAACTATTTAAAAAGGTACCTAAATCCTCTCCACTTTTCCCTTTTAAACCCTGCTTAATATTAAAAAGAAAAAAAAATATTGATTTGCCTATACTCAATGGTTCCTTTACTCATTCATTGTTTGATGAGATCTCAATTTTAATTATTGTCATTTTTTTATCTCGTGTTATTCACTAACCATGTTGCAATCTGAAAATCCTAATTTATATTTCATAAAGATACTTTTTAAACATGTACATGAATTATGACAATTGAGAATTTTTTGTTGATTCTTAAAAATTAAGAATTTTTTCAAGGGATATACTGATTCTGTTTTTAAAATTAGAGACTTGAATTTTCTTTTGAGGTTATAGTGGTCTCAACATTGTACTTCTGGGGGCTGAAGTACAATCCTGTTACAGTGTTGGCATTGGTGCATAAAAATACTGCTAACGTTATAGGGATGAAAAGAGCATGCATTGTGAATATTAGTACCTTCAGGGATGCATTATAAATAGGCCTTCAAGTGTGTGTTATGAATAGACTCCTGAAATAATTTTATGGTGTCTTGTAAATATTTTCCCATTTATTTGATAAGAGAAAAAAAATGATTCTGTGATGCTGTATCTGTGATTCATGAACCTAAACGTTAAATTGGCATTTAAAGATATTTTGGCATATATTTAGTGTTTTAGATTTTAGAATTTTAGTGTTTGAATTATTCATAGAAATTAAATGAAACAATGTTATGCTTTTTTTGAAGAGATTAGGCTTTGATTCTTAGGAATTAAAGTTATATTTTTGCACCAGTTGGGAGAGATTGATTGTGGCTAATCATTAATAGTACAGAATTCAACAATTGTTGAATATTTATGGTATATATTTTACTTAGGCATTTTAATTTATAATAAAAGCTTTGAAATACTTTTTCCCCTTCTGTTTAATACATAGTTTTTCTTTTGTTTGTCTCATATTCTTTGCAGGCTATGTCCAAGCATCAAAGAGAGACAAAAAATTTTTTGCCTGTGCTCCAAATTACTCCTATGCAGCCCTTTGTGAGTGCCTTCGTCGAGTATTTATCTATCGTCAACCTACTCCCATGTCCACTGTACTTTACAACAGAAAGGAAGGCAGGCAAGTAGGACAGGTTGCTAAGCAGCAAGTAGCAAGCCTAGAAACCAATGATCCTATTTTAGGCTTTCAAGCAACAAACGAAAGATTATTTGTTCTCACTACCAAAAACCTCTTTTTAATAAAAGTAAATACAGAGAATTAATTATTCCAATATATTGACTTTTCTGTACTGGAAAAGTATTCAGTGGTAGCTGGAGGTCTGGGCAGTTATACTGTAACCTGTTAAGTTTTAATGTGTTAGGTAGAAATATCTTGATTTTTTTACTTTTTAAAGGATATTGGAAATGTATTCAAGAGATTATGATTCTGTAAAAGCTATGGAATGAACCTACAGATTTAGAAAACATTGGCTTCTGTAAAAATGTAAAGATAAAATTAGCAAGTATAATTATTTTTTAAAAACAGAGGCTAGAATCTCATCTTTTATATGAAAGATGTACAATTCAGTGTCTAAAAATAAAAAATATTTATGTACTCTTTGTTCATTGATTAGTTGCTATAGTCTATACCTATAGAATGTATAGGGTAATAGTTAAAATGTTGAGTATTGTAAATACTTATTTAAATGGATTGAATAATTGAATCTACATAGGAGGAAATGCAAGAGGACAGCAGGACTAATATTCTTAAAGTTTACTGAGAGAGATCTTCATTGTGTTTTCAAATATAGCTTTATTTAATTTTTATGCCAAAGACATAGACAAAGACAGATAATAAGTTTCAACATTATCCATTGTTTCTTAACAAACCACCCCAAAACACAGTGGTTTAAACAGGATTTTTATTATTTCTCACAATTCAGTGAATTGGCTGTCTATGCGCTACATGGCCTCTCAACCTCCAATAAGCCAGACTGGGCTTCTTCCCATGATAAAGAAAACATTCTAAGAGGACAAGCTCCAATGTGCAAGAGCTTGTGAAGCCTGTACATCCATCATATTTGCTACTGTTCCATTGAACAAAGCAAGTCACATGGCCAAGTCCAGAGTCAGTGTGAGAGGGGACTACACCAGGATACAGATAGGAGCAGGCATGATTCATTGGAGGCCATTAATGTAACAATCAAGGACAAATTATAATTTTTTCCTGTAGTTCTCTTTATTTTTCTAACAATTTAAACAAAATAATCCTGTTTCTACATGACTTTTTTT